GCCTCGGTTGTCTGGAGTTTGTTTTTCAATCTGTATAAAAGCTTCTAGCGGTTTCTAGGATGACAGGGGCTGGGTTCGACTGGTGCTGCATTCAGGGCTGCTCGGAATAAATACCACTCCACTTGACCACTTCTAAAGCGTCTCGCAGTTTCTTACAGTGTTCCCTTAACCCAGGGGTGGGCAATTATTTTTTCCATGGGGCCACATGAGAAGCAAACATATTGTGGAGGGCCGGGCCAAAAGGCTGAACTCAATTTTGCATAATATTAATTGTATTTCTTTATAAAAAGCAAGGGGCAGCACGGTGGCACAGTGGTTAGTGCCGTTGCCTCACAGCGTGAAGGTTCCGGGTTTGGGACCTTTCTGTGTGGAGTTTGCATGTTCTCCCCGTGCTTGCGTGGGTTCTCTCCGGGTGCTCCGGCTTCCTCCCACTGACCAAAAGACATGCAGCTTAGGTTGATTGGTGTCTCTAAATTGCCCATAGGAGTGCGTGCGTGCGTGTATGTGTGGTTGTTCGTCTATGTGTTAGCCCTGCGATGGATTGGCGACCTGTCCAGGGTGTACCCCGCCTTCGCCCGATTGCCGGCCGGGATTGGCTCCGGCCCCACCCGTGACCCCGTTCAGGATTGTGGGTGTGGTGTATGAATGAATGAATGAATGCTGTAATAATTCTTTAGTATATTACTTGTGTGGTGTAGAAGATAAGTATTTAAGAATGTAATTATGTAAGAATGTTAACACTTATAATTTTTTAGTATATTATTTGTGTGGTGTAGAAGATAATTATTTACTGCTTGCAAACCAATGATGGTAAGATGATGTCATGGGGTAGGACTGGATAAGTCTGACTTCTTCCTACTCCATTCAAGCATGTACTAGGTATAAGCATATTGATATTGGATTATGTGCAAAATTATGTGTGTTGTCATATCAACTGTTTTACATGCTTGAAAGAATAAATCAAATCAAAGTCAGGATTCAAATCTCGCACAAAATGACAAATCTGAACCTGAAGTGATGCTTTTCTAATTTATTCAGACTGATCCACATTGCTAAAAACCTAAACTCATTCTAATGTTATGTACATGACAAAATAGGTGATAAATTACAAATTCTCTGATCTACTGTAGGGACTCAGCTGTGCCGTCCTGTGTACACATCAGTTTGTCAGTTTCGGTTCCTGAC